GCAGTTCTTATTTTTATAATTCTAATATTTTTGTTGCACGATTCAACGTCATTTGATAGTATTTCTCTTTCAAGTTTTCCATAGTAGCAAAAATTTTCTACTTTAACGCGTTAACTGCTAGATCAACACAGTAGAATCTGTTTTATTTTATTTATTTTATTCTATTAGATTTATATTGAATCATTGAATCGATCGATCATATAATTTTAAGGTTCGCAGTTCTTATTTTTATAATTCTAATATTTTTGTTGCACGATTCAACGTCATTTGATAGTATTTCTCTTTCAAGTTTTCCATAATAGCAAAAATTTTCTACTTTAACGCGTTAACTGCTAGATCAACACAGTAGAATCTGTTTTCTTTTATTTATTTTATTCTATCAGATTTATATTGATTCATTGAATCGATCGATCATATAATTTTAAGGTTCACAGTTCTTATTTTTATAATTCTAATATTTTTGTTGCACGATTCAACGTCATTTGATAGTATTTCTCTTTCAAGTTTTCCATAATAGCAAAAATTTTCTACTTTAACGCGTTAACTGCTAGATCAACACAGTAGAATCTGTTTTCTTTTATTTATTTTATTCTATCAGATTTACATTGATTCATTGAATCGATCGATCATATAATTTTAAGGTTCGCAGTTCTTATTTTTATAATTCTAATATTTTTGTTGCACTATTCAACGTCATTTGTTGTTTAATAGTATTTCTCTTATTTCTTCGTTTTTATTTTGGACACTGTTAACACGTTTTCATTGGACCCAAACTGTGAGTTTAAAGAATTGTGAATTAGATAACTTAGAATTTATCTTTGTACTTGTTTTAATTCTAATATTTTTTTGCACGATTTAATGTCATTTGTTGTTTGATGATATTTCTTTTGTTACTTCGTATTTATTTTGGACACTGTTAACACGTTTTCATTAGACCCAAACTGTGAGTTTGAACAATTGTGAATTAGATAGCTTAGAATTTATTTTTTTACTTATTTGTGTAACTTCGTTAGAATTCATGAATTCTATTTTTTTAGTTTCATATTAAAGAGTTCGAAGCAGAGTTAATTAATTATCCAGCCGTTTTTGGAAGTCTGTAGGTGAAGAATTGAGGATTATGAGGTCCTTAGTTAGGCGAATGTGGTATATAACTGTCTAAGTATCCCAGTTTATGATGTTGCTGGCAATAAATTAATTTGCATGGTACTAGGTCCTTCGTGGCTCTTGTATGCTGAATTTGAACCTCGCCTTCTGTGTACAGGTGTGTTTTGGCATCGAAACAGAAAAGACCTACAGTGTGAAAATTTGGCGGAATAAATTGACTTTGAATATCTATCGAACAATCGTCTTAGAGTAAACTCCAATAAATTCATTTTCAAGTAAATCACAAGTCTATTTTTTAAAAAAATATTACAACCGATGAAAGTCACTATTTTTTTGAAAATAAGTAAAAATTGTTGGAGATAAATCGATTCCGGTTTCTTTATTCGACGATATGTATTCTCCTTAAAAAATGACTCGTGTTTCTATTATTTATTCTTCTTTGCAACAATGAAAATTCGAGAACTCATCATGAAAGTACAGACAAGTTATTTAAAAAAAAAATTATGAATTCAGCATAGTTAATTAACTTTGAACAGAATGTATCAAATTCAATAATAGTCTTATTGTGAAAAGAAGACAATAATGAGAAGAATCATAAATTTCAATTCATGAAAATACTAAAATTCATTATGAAAGTACAGATCAATTATTTAATTTTTTTTTAAAGTAGTAAATTCTGCAAACATAATTGACCTTGAACAGAACATATTAAATTCAATAATAATTTTATGGAAAAAGGGAAACAAATGCTGAAAATGAATATTATTATTATTGAAGTTATTAACAAAACACTTGAAGAGCTCATGAAATTTTTTGGAATTAATATTATTGATAGTTCGATTCAATTTAAAAAAAAACATTCATGGATTGATCTACGATGGACGACAAAAGTCAGATGAAAACATGGTCACCGAAAGACCACTCTCTTCCACACAAATTTTATGCCACCTATATCTTTCCATTGTGTTAATTTCTTCGTATGACAGCTAAAATTTACGAATTCCTTCCTCGTTAACACGTGTACCCAAACGTATGAACGCTCTGGTGTAAATCATTCGGCATAAATGGGTTGATCCAATATACGCAACTCCCTAACCCATACCTCGTTTAAACGTGCTGCCAAATCCTTTAACCCACTACACTTTCCACGACGTTTACAGTCGGTTTCGTTTATTATTATTCTGTAATATTTCATACCACTGTTATCATCGTGTATTTGTATATTTTATGAAATTATTCGAGGAATCATACTCTCACTTATATTCCATGTTTTTCTTCAGATAAAATTGTCCAATAATTTATCACTATTATCTTGAAAATTCGTTTAGTTTTTAATATACTCACAATGTTCAATTCTTTTCAGATTTCAGATTTCTCAGTTCATCGATGCTTACGAATTTTGGCTTTATTTTATCTATTTTTGTAACTTTATATTATATGAAGATCCATTGAGTGTAATATACAGGGAAAAATTTTAATGGGAGATTCTAGAGGCCAAAATAAGACGAAAATCAAGAATATTCATTTCTTAATTGAGGCTTCGTTAAAAAGTTATTAACAATTAAATTCGAAAATTTCAAATCATTCTGGAAAAATTATTTTCGGTTGCGGGGGTCAATTGCTATAATTTTTGGTCATTACACATACCTCCGAAATCCTATCCACTTTCGAGAAAAAGAATCGAGAAAGTGTGAAATTTTTCGATGGAAAAAAGAAATTTCAAATCGTCCTAAAAAAATTATTTTCTGTTGCGGGGGTCAATTACAATCATTTTTGGTAAATAGACATACCCCCGAAATCTTGCGCATTTTCTAGAAAAAAATTCGAGAAGATGTGAAATTTTTCGATGGAAAAAAGAAATTTCAAATCGTTTTGGAAAAATTATTTTCTGTTGCGGTGGTCAATTACAATCATTTTTGGTCATTACACATACCTCCGAAATCCCATCCATTTTCGAGAAAAAAAATCGAGAAGGTGTGAAATTTTTCGATGGAAAAAAAATTTTTCAAATCGTTCTGGAAAAATTATATTCGGTTGCGAGGGTCAATTACAATCATTTTTGGTCAATAGACATACCTCCGAATTCCTATCCACTTTCGAGAAAAAAAATCGAGAATATGTGAAATTTTTCGATGGAAAATAGAAATTTCAAATCGTTCTAAAAAAATTATTTTCTGTTGCGGGGGTCAATTACAATCATTTTTGGTAAATAGACATACCCCCGAAATCTTGCGCATTTTCTAGAAAAAAATTCGAGAAGATGTGAAATTTTTCGATGGAAAATAGAAATTTCAAATCGTTCTAAAAAAATTATTTTCCGTTGCAGGGGTTAATTACAATCATTTTTGGTGAATAGACATACCCCCGAATTCCTACCCATTTTCGAGAAAAAAAATTCAGTACAGGCTCCACTTTAAATATTAATAACTTTTTAACAAAGCCTCCATCAACAAATTGGTATTCATCATTTTCGTCTTATTTTGGCCTCTAGAATCATCCATTAAAATTTCCCCCACAGGTGCCTGAACACCCTGTATAATTAAAAATTACCAACTCCACTACATTGTTTATATTTTGAAATGTCGTTGGAATAAATATTTTCTCTTGCAACCGATGAATGATAAAACTATTCTTCCATTCGAAAAGTTCTTTGGTCCGAGAAATCACTGATTCGCAATAAAGTATTGTCGCGGCCGGAATGCACGTCTGCAGGGAAGGCAAGTATTTGTCGTATAAGTGTGTCAAACCGACGTTAAAGTCGGTAGAGTATTATGGCCCGAGGATGCATTTCGTCGTACGGAGTAGGGAAAATCGTTATCCTATCTGGAAAACTAAATTCTGCAGTTTATCTAACTTATCGGGCCAAGTTATTGTTTCAGAAGGGAAACTTTCGATAGAAAATTTTATCTTCCAATAAAATATTGCCCCCCGAACGTAATGAACGCACCTTCTTCGAGGGCTTTTTCAGCTTTTGCGGATGAAATACCTTTAGGAAAATGCCCTAACGAATAATATTTAATCAGAGTTCTCTAATTTCAATATGGCGTCCGAAACCTGAGAAATGGACGCGTTCCGTAAATCTAGTATTAAAATAATTTTCATGTTTGCTAGTTAATCTTAAAAGAAATCTTTTTCGTGAGCATTGCACATATCAACAAGATTAAACATTATTTGTTACATTGACCAAATCAAGTATAAATTGCTAACAGAGAATATTTAGCCGGAGTTTTGTAATTTCAATATGGCGTCTGAAACCTATCAAATATACATACATACATACGTGTTTTGTAAATCTAGTATTAAAATAATACTCATGTTTGTTAGTTGCTCTTAAAACAAATCTTTTCCGTGAGCACGTATCGTCAAAATTAAGTATCGTTTAAAAAATGGCTCCTATTTAAATTGTACGCTAACCGCGTTTCCGTGGTTAGACAAGCTGAATATTGGTAAATATTTAAATTAAGAGAGCTTCGAAATTACAGCGCGAACATGAACATTTACATACTTTCGCTACAGGGTATATGAGCGTAATAGATATTAAAAGGAGAAATTTTGGCAAACAACAAACCTGAAACTATCGAGTTGTTTACTTTGGAAGCGTAATCACAGTCTCGTGCAACGGTACAAGAGAAGGAAATCCGTCGTATCTGAAGGTATGCTGTTTTCGTGCAGAAAGACCTCGTTTCTCCGCGATCCTCCGTTACAGTTCACTAGCTACCTGCCCGCTGAACCTCCGGTAAGTTGTGCCGCGATTCGAAAGATTCGAAATTGCTCCTCTCGGTGCAACGTGATATCGGCATCGCAAACCACGGAACAACGGGGGCATTTCGTGATCGCAACTTTCACGGGCGGGTCGATGGAATAGAGACGCCGAGGGAAACAAGATCCGCGCGTACCAACTGTTTCAGGAACGACAGTAGACCGATGTTGATGATTTCGCCGCCTAGTTGCACCAGAATATAGCCCAGCACGCCTATCACGGTGATGCACTCCGTTACCGTACGAACCGCTTCCGTTATTTCCTCCGGCCATTTTAGGACTAACGTGCTCATGTTGGCGGGCCTCATGTACACGGCCAGGGATAACGAAGTCAGGTGAAACGCCAATATTATCAATCGCTTCAAAAACTGTAACTTTCGTAAAACAAAGGATTTAATTCTTGTCACACTTCATTATTACATATATGCTACTCTAGCTAAGAAATTAACGGGGACATTATTTTCTTTGTTGGGTTAAGCTAATTCTGTTTTGGGCCTCATAGACTCGGGTGAAACGTCCGAATTTTTGTTACACTTCATAATTACATATATGGTATTCTAGCTAAGAAATTAACGGGGACATTATTTTCTTTGTTGGGTTAAGCTAATTCTGTTTTGGGCTTCATAGACTCAAGTGAAATATCTGAATTTTTGTTACACTTCAAAATTACATATATGGTGCTCTAGCTAAGAAATTAACGGGGACATTATTTTCTTTGTTGGGTTAAGCTAATTCTGTTTTGGGCCTCATATACTCAGGTGAAACATTCGAATTTTTGTTACACTTCAAAATTACATATATGGTATTCTAGCTAAGAAATTAACGGGGACATTATTTTCTTTGTTGGGTTAAGCTAATTCTGTTTTGGGCCTCATATACTCAGGTGAAACATTCGAATTTTTGTTACACTTCATAATTACATATATGATACTCTAGCTAAGAAATTGACGAGTGCATTATTTCCTTCGATAGGTTAAATTTCAACCTAATTCTGTTTTGGGCCTCATTTGCCCAGGTGAAAGGTCAGAATTTTTATCGTACTTAGCAATTACATAATCAAGCGAAAAAATTAACCGATGCATCATTTCTTTTGATGCATTAAATGATAGATTAATTCCATTTTGGGCCTCATATAATTAGGTGAAATGTAAGAATTTTTGCAGCACTTAATAATTACATAATCTAGCTAAGAGACTAACCGATGTATTATTTCTTTTGGTGCATTAAATGATAGATCAATTCCATTTTGGGCCTCATATAATTAGGTGAAATGTAAGAATTTTTGCAGCACTTAATAATTACATAATCTAGCTAAGAGACTAACCGATGTATTATTTCTTTTGGTGCATTAAATGACAGGCTAATTCTATTTTTTTGGGCCCCATATACTCAGATCAAATGTCAGAATTTTTGTTACACTCAGCAATTACATAATCTAGCTAAGAGACTATCAATGCATTATGTCTTTTGGTGCTATAAATGACAAGTTAATTCTGTTTTGGGCCCCATGTATTCAAGTGAAATGGAAGAATTTTTGCAATACTTAATAATTATATAATCTAGCTAAGAGACTAACCAATATATTATGTCTTTTGATGCGTTAAATGACAAGTTAATTCTGTTTTGGGCCTCATTTACTCAGGTGAAACGTCAGGATTTTTGTTACACTTAGCTATGACATAATCTAGCTAAGAGACCAACCGATATATTATTACTTTTGGTGCATTAAATGTCAGGTTAATTCTGTTTTGGGCCTCATTTACCCAGGTGAAACGTCAGAATAATTTTTACACTTAGTAATGACATAATCTAGCTAAGAGACTAACCGATGCATTATTTCTTTTAATGCATTAAATGATAGATTAATTCCGTTTTGGGCCTCATATAGTCAGGTGAAACGACAGGATTTTTGTTACACTTAGCAATGACATAATCTAGCGAATAAACAAACCGATGCATTATTTCTTTTGATGCGTTAAATGATAGATTAATTCCATTTTGGGCCTCATATACTCATGTGAAACGTCCCAATTTTTGCTACACTTAATAATTACATAAATGGTAACTCAACTAAGAGATTAACGAGTCCTTCATTTCTTTCAATGAATTAAACACCGAAAATTTTTTTTTCTGGGCCCCATGTCACCAGATAAAACAACAAGACGATCAATAGAGTCGAAGACTGTAACTTTCGGGGGGGAAAAAGAATTGAATTTTTGTTACACTTAATGAAAATATAAATGGTAATCTAGCGAGGGATTAACGGGTGCATTATTTCTTTTGACGCATTAAACGTCGAGCTAATTTTGTTTCACGGTCCATTTAGGCGATGCCCAGTTGGAGCAGAGCTCTAAAATTCTGGAAGGAAATTAAAAAATGAGATTGAGTCTTTTTGAATATTAAATCATAATTGTTAATATCCTTCAAAATATTCCATAAGAAACAGAGATCATTGAAAGCCAAATTCATTGTCAGTACAGTCCAAACTTTACTCCTAATTAGTTATTTTATCTAGTAAAAAAATAAATTTACAGTTTGATTTGGTTTTAAAATCAAGTTACTGAAAAACTTGTGTAGCGGGGGAGAAAGTTGCTGATGTCGAAGAGGAATATCAACAATGGAAAGAAAGTCAGGAGAACCAAGTTCAGTAAACTGTGCAGAATCTGCAAGTAAAATGGAGGCGGATGCTGTCAAAGAAATGTTTATCAGGTTAAATGTACACGATATTTTAAGTGTAGATCCGTACAATATATCTACTAAAAAATGAAAATTTATTTTGCACGTTAAAAAGGAAAAAAGGAAAAATGAAAGCTAATCTATAAATTGAGAAATCATTCATCTATTATTGATATAAAATGTTTATCATTTTTATGGGACTAAAATTGATTTTTGGGCAATTTGAACCAAAATTTTTTTAGCTATCATGCATCGTCTTTCCAGACTCATTTTAATTGACATATCATCTTCAAAATTAATTTTTTTTAAATTCCTAGCAAATAGTTCAATCTTTTTCGTTGAGAAATTAAAAATAAAAGTTTTCTTGTTACTTGGATGTTACTTGGTGGTGTAAAAAAATATTATTTGCATAAGTTTTTCTTTGTTTGACACGAGATACAACCTTGTTCTGCAACTCAAGTTCTAATTTTATTTAAGAATTAGTGCACAAAAATTATTTCTTTTTTGTTCGTTATTTGAAATTGTTATTTAGATAAGAATTCTGCCCGTCTCTACACGCCTGGCATAATAATTACACATTCAGTAGCGTAACTAAGGGTGTGCAGCGTATGCATGGCACGTGTGATTCCAAATTCGAGGGACACCGACTTCGTAATAATATTTTTAATATTTCAAATAGAAAATGTTGGGAACTTCAGCAATTATTTGGTCACAAATACTTTGCACAAATTTGATACGTAATGTTTCACAAATTTCGTTGATTAGTTTTCTTTAAAATTAAAAATATCTCTCATTTATATTCTCATTTTCAAAAATTTTTAGGTTTCTTCGTATAAAATCAAGAAGAATAAAATTACATTATCAAGATAAGTATGGGACTAGTCCACTGATTATCGTAAATTATTAATCACTTTGACCAATTTTTCAGTCGTAATAATCGAATATGGTGCAAATTAATTTTCCATTTTTCTGTTATAATTAAAGTTTGAAAGCGTTGGGAACACTGAATATTTTATATTATAGAACTTCTGCTTTCGAACTGATAACTTGCAAACTAAACTCGCGTTCGAATACAGCGAAACGAAATTACACAGCATACAAATCGAACAACCGTAACGTGTGTAATTTATTTTCTCATTTAAAATTCTAATAAGTTACGTAACATTAACGATGTTGTCGAAAGCGGAATTCTGCTTTGATGAATCGAAGAAGCATGGAACAATTTTGATATATTAATTTTCTTCAATTGTTATTAGGTTCAATCATAAAATATTCTAATCTATAAACTAGACATTTATTTACAATTTATTTGCATTATTTCGTCGATTTGTCTAATTTTTGTGTATTTTATAGGAAGCATATTCCTGAGTATTCTGATATGTTTAATTTTCATGATATAATTGTTGCAAATCTATTAGAATCGATGCACAAACTGATGGAATATATTGCAAATTCGTGTGATACTGCAAGATATTAAAAACAAAGATTTTGATAATTCTTTGTCATACAAACAAGTGAAAAATCAATCATAAAACATTCTCACTATTTTTTGTATACAATTCCCAAACAAACTAGATACTTATTTACAATTTATTTGCATTATTTCGTCGATTTGTATAATTTTTGTGTATTTTATAGGAAGTATATTCCTGAGTATTCTGATATGTTTAATTTTCACGATATAATTGTTGCAAATCTATTAGAATCGATGCACAAACTGATGGAATATATTGCAAATTTGTGTGATACTGTGGGATATTAAAAACAAAGATTTTAATAATTCTTTAACAATTCTCAACAAATGAAAAATATTCTGTAATGACAGTTTCAGACATTTTAATCAAAATATAGTCGTTTTTCTCCAGATATCGAGATTCAGTTGGTTTTATTGTTTCCACGTTGTACGAAAGAAAGAATCGATGACTTAGATGCCCGGTATCGAATCTCTATTTAAAATAGCTGCGTATTGCTCAGACCATGGTATTGTATTTTCCCATGCGAGCGTAGCTCTCACGTGCTCGCATGGACGAGTTTCATATTCTTTCGAAAGCTCCTCCGTTCGTATTATGCGCTTGCTGTTGTAAGTCTGCTAAATCATGAATACATTAGACTTTTTCAATATCCTTGCAAGAAAAAGTCTATAAATCAGGTGATCCTTTTTTGCCCGGCACACGACGAACAGTGGAAAGTAATTCAATTGCATTAGTGGGACAAAAAAGTCGCCATTTTACCTGGACAGAATTAACTTTCATACCTAGTTTTTCCCCGTTTTCGCCACGCCACTGTATTCATCAATGCTTTTCGCACACTGCATAAAGCTATCAACTTTAAATTATGGTAAATAATGCATGCACCCCGCCGAAGGGATAATTTTGCATATAAATGTTCCAAAACGATTATTCTATTTACCGGTGAATTGTTATTTCGTCAAAAACAAAAAAGGAATATAAAAAAAAAAACTATGAAAAATACGAGTATTTCAAAGTCTGAACTGTCCGTGGAATTGTTCTAACGATGTGGTACCGTCATATGGTCTTTGTGATTAATTATACTAAAACCATGCTAATCTCTGTGTGCAATATCACACCGTAATTGGTTATTTGACGCTTGTATGCGGTTTAAACGCGGTCGTAATTAGCGCTATAAGCGGAATATGTCATGCATTCTATGCTATTATAATGTTCCGGTGTGTTTATGT